GCTGCATACAGAGCTAAAATAACAATGTAGCTTTAGCTGCATACAGAGCTAATATAACAACGTAGCTTTAGCTGCATACAGAGCTAAAATAACAATGTAGATTTAGCTGCATACAGAGCTAATATAACAACGTAGCTTTAGCTGCATACAGAGCTAAAATAACAATGTAGCTTTAGCTGTAAAAGCACAAGCACAGGGTTTTGTTTGAAGGAGCTGAAGCCGTCTCAAAGTCTTTCCGTTTAAACAAAGTTAAATATTTTGCTAACTCAGCAGAGGCCACATTTTAAAAGCCGTGATTAAAGCCCACAAACAGAAGCTCTGCAGAAACCTGAGCTCTTCTTCACATCTGTGTCGAAGCCAAAGCCTGAGGAAGACTCCAGACATGATGAAGGCTGACGGAGGTCTGTGTTGAGACGTAAAAAAAAAACATTCGAAGATGTTTTTTACAGAGCGGCTGCTGTTTATCAGCTCAGACCAGAGTTTCTGGAGCTTTTCTCTCAGAGCTGAAATATTAGGACTTAATGTTGGAAACTGAGTGTGGGGCAGATCTGAGTCAAACCCTCAGCAGGAGGACTCGTTCAGACCGCTTCAGTTTTGAACCGTCTCCAGCTCGTCCTGACTGAGACYTTTAGTTTGATTTATTTAAAGCTTTCTGAAGCCCAGACTGAATCCTCCCTCCAGGATCCACGGCCCCTGCAGGCCCCGGTCCCACTCACATGGCCCGCATGTTGTTCTCAGGCAGCAGGGGGATCTCCAGGACCTTGGTGTTGTTGTGCAGGACCTCGTGGCTCGGCGTGGACACGGTCTTGCCCGTGATGCGGTGGACCTGGTAGAAGGCGTGGGGCCTCAGCAGCCGGTCGTCAGCCGTGCCGATGAAGAGCTGCAGGGTCAGGGGGTCGCTCTCCATGTAGCCCTGGAGCTGTGGGGCAGAAACAACACGTCAGGATGATGAAGATGATGAAGATGATAAATACTGAACATGTTCTGCAGGTGAAACAGGAGCTGCTCCTGATTGGCTGAATCTCACTCTACACCATTAATGACGCTGCTTTGGTTTAAACTCTTTAAATGTTTTCAGTTTCAGCCTGACCAAGTGGTTTAACAGCCGAACTGGCAGATCGGCTGTACGTGCACATCCTCGTGCACATCCTCGTGCACATCCCTGACACTCATCCCAGATAATTATAAGCCTCTGTGGAAAATAGAAGCAGGAATCTGAGTGGAAACGTTGACATGAAGACCACAGATTTCTGTTACGTAACCAGAACCAAAGACCCGACACATGATCCCCTTCAGTACCAGGTCTGTCAGGGACCAGGTCTGCCAGGGACCAGGTCTGTCAGGGACCAGGTCTGCCAGGGACCAGGTCTGTCAGGGACCAGGTCTGTCAGGGACCAGGTCTGCCAGGGACCAGGTCTGTCAGGGACCAGGTCTGTCAGGGACCAGGTCTGCCAGGGACCAGGTCTGTCAGGGACCAGGTCTGTCAGGGACCAGGTCTGCCAGGGACCAGGTCTGTCAGGGACCAGGTCTGTCAGGGACCAGGTCTGCCAGGGACCAGGTCTGTCAGCAGGCAGTCTTTAAATCTAACAAGTTTCTACCAGAAAAGGTCCAGACCCACAGAAACCGTCTGATGTTGGATGTGGAATGTGGTTGGATGCTGGATGTTGGACGGTACTGGTTGTTGGATCTGGTTGGATGTTGGATGTTATTGGATGATGTTGGATATTGTTGGATGTTGGATGTGGTTGGATGTTGGATGATGTTGG